TATCTTCCGATCACTTAGCTTTTTATTGTGTAAGGTGAACGAACTTTTTTCTTTGCATTCATTTTTTTATTTTTTTCTTCTCGTTCTAGCTCCTATTTATTGTGAATTCTCGAGCATTTAATCCACTAACTGCACTATGCCCAGCTCGAAATGCATTTTTCAGCCAGTTGCTTCGCCCCTTTGCTGATGATTCTAACAAGAAAGACGTCTGCCTACACAACGAAAGTTCTCCTTCAGATAACGATGTGATTGAAGTTTATGATCTGCCTCCGGATAGCTTGTTCGAAGAAGATCCTCAGTTTGAATACGTTGCTCAGAGTAATAAAGAAATCGACTACTCTTTCATAAGTCCGGAAAGTAAGCAATTAAATACTCTTCTTTTACAGCTATATAGGGGGTGATTCCGGAGTTTTTGAACTGGATGAGATGACAAAACTTCTGAGAAAAGAGAATTTGGATCAGATTGTTTGTCTAAAGCTTCCGAAGACGGCCTGCCTCGGTGACTTCATGATTATTGCAAACGCTAAGTCAAAAAGACATCTCAGCCAAACTACGACTGTTATTCAAAAATTGGTAAGCAAACTTAAGTGACCTTGGGTTCTTTACCAACCTGTATTTTTTCCGGTTTATATTTGAGATTGTGGCGTCTTTTTTTGCCCAGTGGATTCACTTCACATTTAGTCTTCGCACCCTGTTTGCATTCTCTTAGTACACACACGCCTTACCAGTACTCTCTTACGATTTTGTAAGTGTTATAATACGGTCTTCTCCGACACTAACGACAATTAATTTTCATGATGACCATCGGGCGGAATCTCGGTTTCCAAAGATCCAAAAACGTTTTAAGCTACCTGTAGGGGCATAGCTAGCTGAGTTGTGCACAGCCTAACCAGGTGTCTTACTACCGCATTGTTTCAGATGTGCTCTAGACGAAGTTGGTTGCGAATAAAAAGAACAGTATGTGATATGCGCACATTACTAAGACCTTTATCCAAATTGGCCAGCGTTCTTAACGTTCAACGGTGTTTCACTATATTTCGATCCACTGCGCAGAACTTGACCGGTCTCGTATCTGATTCTGATGTAGAACTTTACAAGTTCATTGAGTATTTTTTATGAGTTTGCTAATTTCTAGGTAATATTTGTTGTCAAATTCATAAGAACAAGGTGA